TTGCGAATAATAATTGCAAGAATCAATACAAACTAATCAACTAAAAAGAAATTTATATTATACTAATTTCAAAATCTAGAGATTTAAAGAAACTGCTACAAGTGTCGTTACTGCAGTTAAGTGTGGCTAACAGCAACTGCACTTTTTTTTTTAACCGGTAATCTACCTTTGTTTTTTTTTTTTTCTGTAAAAAGATACAAGCGATAGTTACAGACTTGCCTATGCACTTTTTGCTAACTTCCTGGCATTTTAAAGTCAAAAATTTTCAATTTACTTCTTGTGGAATTTCACGACGTCTCTTTATCGATAAAGCGTGATAAATTTTTAGAGCTACTATCAACGTAATTTTTGGAAGTTGTAAAACTTTTGTAGTTTTTTCACCTTTATACTTCTGAACAAAAGATTATAAAATAGATACAACACCTATTCAAATAAACTGAATCTCTAATTTATTTTTACAATGTTTTTGTTTATACGCTTTTTTTGATCGTTTTATTAGCTGACGTTTTCTCACCTTTATTTTCATATCACTGTGGAATAACCGTTGGTACTTACTCTAAAATTTTAATAAAGATTTTTTTCACTGCTTTCTAAATTTTGTTTTATTTAACGCTCAAATAACGAACCATTGGCTTTTTTATAACTGATAACTGAATTAGCAAGTGGTTTTTGAGGTCTTTTTTTGCACTTTAAGCTGATTTTTTTTTATTGTTATAGTTGAGTTGTTACAGTTGATTTCAGCACTTCACAGTTGTAAAAAATTTATCTTAAGTGAAGTCTAATCAACATATTTGATCTTAAAACCAATAGTTACCAACTTTGACAGCGACATTTATCAAGTTTTTTTAAAATCTCTATAAATTTTCTATTACTTATTTTCAGCTTGTTAAACAGCATTTTATGAGCTATAAAAGTTTTTTTTTGACGCACGTTTAGGATAACTATAGAACGGAAGTAGGCAATTAATATTCTAAAATGTCGTGGTAGTCGTGTTCCAGATATCATGCAATTTTTGTAGTCGACTCCTCAATAACGTAATCTAATTTGAAATTCAGTTTTTCCTCTATTTCAAATTTTGCATTAAAAATTTTAGTTCTAAAAATTACCTAAAGCCATATCGTCTCGTGCTAATATTTTTTACCACACTGTACCAGAATAATACTGCTGCAGTTAGATGACTCCACAATAAATCAGTACCTTCAAACTTTCTGTGATCATAGTTTAGTGGCACTTTATACGGCGGTCATTTTCAACAGTGCCCACTGCAAACAGTTGTTGTCGGCCTGTATAAAAAATGTATGGGGGAGAGGGGGGACGTCTGTGACGAGAAGAATTTGCTGTTCTAGCCTTGTTCATCATTAGCAATGCCGACTTATTAAGCTTTGTCAGTGCTAAAAAGCATGAAAAATGACTGTTTACCAAGAAAGAAAAAAAAAAGGTTAAATTTGAGTTTCTTTAGAAAACACAAAGAACTAACCTTATCATTTGATGCTTAATAATACCACTTTTAAGCGATACTGTTCAACGATCACATTATTTAACCAGGTAAAAAGAAGTTCACCAGTCAATGTTTTAGGCATATTTTGTTGATTAGTATCAGTGCTGTAATAAATTCTACTCTTCGACGATACTTTTAAAACCATAATCAAAGTTTTATTTTGCTTCTATATTTGTTAAATTTATAAAATAATTGTTAAAAATTTTAATTCTTTGGACATCTTTAAGCAGATGACGATTGTTACAAATAATAAGTAAAAAACTGCTTTTTTGTTTAAACATGTATTTCTTCTCTGACATACTATTATTGATTGTCAATTTATCGTTGATAAGGCATATTATTGTTAAGCATTTTTAAAATTGGTAGCAAAATTCTTAAAAAAAAAACGATAAACAAAAATGTGCATAAAGAATACGGCTAATTGTTTTAAAAAGCTTTAAAAGTCTTTTTAAAAAAAAAAAAGCTGCTTTATAAAAAAGATTTCTGATCGTAGTTTTTTTATAAAGGAACTAATGCTTTAACAAGTCAATGACGAAAAAGAAAATAAAGGCAAAACTTTATGGTTAAAAATTAATGTTTCTCTTAGGTTTCAGCATATAAATTCCATGATTTAGTTAGAATTTTAAATCAATTAAAATCCGGTATTAAAATGGCAGAAAACGTTTGAAAAATGCAGTAGAAATAGATTCAACAAATTTAAAACAAATCTGACAATTGAACTGTTTATTCCGTTTCTTATAAAGCTTCTTTACAAAAGAACTTTAAGATGTAATGCTAAGTTCAGTTAAGTGGAAGTCAACTCTAAACGCTAAGCAGTAAGCTGACTGGATAGTATTCCATATTTGATCTGCAATTTTTACTGTTTGGCCGTATTGCTTCATAGCCATTCTTAATCAGTGTTTGCCGATTACCGAAGAAATATATCAAAATGAAAAATGTGTTTGTGTACTTCGTTAAAATTCAGAAAAAAATGCTTTTAAACTTATTCTACTTAATTATTTAAGTATTAAAAGGTGTACGGTTTTGAGTGCTATTGAAGAAAAAGTAAAAAATTGCTGGCTTACATTTTAAACTCTTGAAAGAATATTTTGTAGTGAACAAATCGCTCTTTACTGCTGCTTTCTTTTTGACTACCCAACCGATCAGTGCAGTATCAGAACCTTTGTAGGCTTAACTAGCAATCAGTTTATTTTATTTTTTGGTACGTTTATTACGTAATCGACAAGTTTTTTTTTTTTGTTTTGCTACTGAGGGCGACCCTATCGCAAAAAGATGTGTTTGTTGCTGTTATGGCTTGTCTGAAGTTTTTTACTGCTGTCAAATAACATGTCATTCTGTCTTATATGTTAAGATTTTTATTGCTTCCCTGTTTATTTTTTTTCTCAATAATTATGCATCGAAAACAAGAATGCTATTTGGATGATTTGAATATATAGCGCGTATAGCAAATTAGATTCAGTAATCAAAGAATATGAAATCTAATATTTGTTTTTTTATTTTTTTTTTTGTAATTATTTATTACCAGGTGTCTGGTTGCAATTTTTATAAAGTTGTAATATTTTATATTGTGGCCAACTAACTGCTATCTACAATTTCGACAGCAGTGATTTGGCATTTTGAAAGCAGAGAAATGGCTAGCAATTTTTCAACCTTGGTGACAACCAGCGCGGAAGATGAGAGGCCAAAGGGTTGGGAAAGTAATGAAACTGTCTTTTGATTATCTTATACTATGCTTAGCAACAGTGTTTTTTTGTACTTAACAATACAATATTTAAAATTTTAAAAAGTGTCGCTAATATTCAGTTTATTTTACAAACAGACAATTACAGTTTTCAATAATATCTAATAAATTAATTTTTTTATTCTACTAAATTTTTGGTTTAGCTTGGGGAATCGGTCTACTAATCGTTACCGTTACCGCATTTGCCTCACCGGCAGGTTTTTTGCTCGTTCCACTGCTAAAAAAATCGTTGTATGAGCGCATGATGACTTTTCTTGTATCTCTTGGAATAGGTGCTCTTTCAGGATCAATACTCTATGTTATGATACCACAAGTAAGGAAATTTAAAAGCATTTATATTAATTTTTTGGTTTTTTTACTTATAATTTGAGTAACTACTTGTTTCTTTCTCCAAATTGCTTACTTAATTAAATTTAAACGTCTAACTTTGAAAAAAGCTTTCAATTTGACGGTTTACTCAGATTTCGTCTTTTTCTTTCTTTAATCGCCTACTACGCTCGGCATTCTCCGCTCGTTCTTCTCGGCTTACCACAAAAAAAAAGCAAAAAAAGTGCCTCTTGGGTACTTTTCTTGCCACTTTTGCTGCAATTTGGAGTTAGCGTTTTCACTAAACGAGTTTAAGGCTGCCCTTATAAAACTTCAAACGCATTTTTTTTTGAAACTAATTGTATATCTGAGGCGAAAAGTTGTATTTAGACTGTCCTATCACTTCTTCAATTTGCAATAACGAGAGTCAAGTTTAAGCAGAAAGAAATGATTGTTCATGTGGAAGTAGTTGCTGTTAGCGTGATATTACTTGCCACATTTTTTATCATTTCCATTTGTAACAAGACTCTGAACTTTTAATTTCTGTCTTATTTTAACAATGTCGGTGCTTTCTTTTAAATACTCCGCAGTGCGTTGGTAAAAAAGGAGTGGAAAGTTCCAGACGCTCTCCGAAGTTTAATTGTGTCACGTTAATAAAGGTGGGTCGACAAACTGTTGTGGTGCTACCAAAAAAATCGTGCTAGTTTTTTGCTACTGACGGCTAAAATAAGTGAGTTTCTGCTGTCCAGGCCAGGATGTAAATTATCTTTTCGCTGATGTAAAGATTTTTAATTTGTTGCATATTGGTCTTGAACCAGATGTTTTCCGATTGTCAGACCAAGTTCCGGGAAACTGTGATTGGTAATTCTTACCCTTTAAATAGTGACCAGACTAGATAGTGCCTTGGGAACACTGTCCAGCTATGAAAAAGTTTACTACTTCAGTTAAGCGACCAAGCGAATAAGCCATGTAAACAATTTTTGTGCCTCAAAGATATGGTTAAAAAATGACTTTGAAAGCGGTTATTTCTTGACGCAGTGGGAAGGCTTTGTCTGACATTTATTCCTACAAAAACTAAATTGAATTAGATGTCGCGACGAATACTGACGCTGCAACTTCTTGCCGCACTACTCTTCCTTAACAGTTTTGTCATAGTGTACTTCTGCCAGTTTACGTTCTAAACATGGTGATGACACTTAAACCTGCTTCTAGGTGCGCATTGCCGCAGCACATCCTTCGAAAGAATATGCCGTTTATATTCACACTCTTTACCTAAAATTAGCAGTTGGGCGAGAGGTATACGATACAAGACGCCCTAATCCAGACTGGATACACTAATTGAACTATTTATTAAGGTGGTAGATCTCTCACTAAGCTCTTGAATAAAACACCAAGTTTCTGCTGCATCCTGTTCTGCGTTTGACTCATACAGCACTATTGTGCAAAGTAGTTAGAACACTTTTGAAGATTTTGGAAAACGTTTACCCGCGACTTTTATTTGGTCTAATATGATAATCGAGGAGTAAACGAGTAAACGACAAACCAAAAATTGATTTTGCTTAGAATAAAGAAACTGGAATTTGAACGGCACACACTCTTTTCCAAAAATTACGCAACGTATCATCTGAAACGTTTATTAGTTTGTAAAGGTTTGAGGATTAAAATCATTTATCTATTAATCTAATATCCAAAGTTTTTTTATTGCTGTCACCTTGTTACAGTAATATTTTTAAAAAGATTCGATGTTACACTTTTTGAAACTCGTTACTTTGCCAACATTTGCGTATCACGAGCACCATTTTAGGCTTACAGTATGGAGGATACAAATGACTATTTGAAGAAATCATCAATTTTTCTTGGTGCTCTTTATGCTTTTTTCTTGTTTGATCGACTACTGCAGTATATTTTAGAGATGAGAAGGGTAAATTTTTATTGTAGATTTTTTTGAAGGGTGTTTTATTTGGCAAATCTAATTCTCTTTTGTCACGAAACATTTCCTAAATATATGACTGTATAAAGTTTTGAACTATTGGCTCGGAGCAGATTTATAAACAAAATTTTTTTAGCGAGGCAGAGTTCGTAAAATTAGCCCTACGACACTGCAAATGGTGTCGAACTCAAATGGGGACCTGTATGAAAATTATTCCCCAATGAAACCAATTGTTTGCGACGGAAAAGAGCTTACAACTGCTAGAGACATGAATAATCTCGCGGTAACCATTTCTCAGTTTTAGTGACAATTTTGAAGAAAAGCTATCATCTGTGTAATTGTCATAGGCTGGAATTTAACGCTACGTTATTTTTCTTATTATTGTAGTGCATTAAGTCGTGGGTGTAGGAGGATGCAGAAATGGTTTTACAGATGGCCAGTCCTTAGGACTTTTACTGAACATTAAAGCATGCAAGTGAAAATTTAACGTTTTTTTTTATCACGTGTGTAATACATAAAAATAATTTTCAGACTGACTTGGAAGTGTCTGAGATCTCGAACGCAGTTGTTAGACGAGTTAGTATTTAGACAGATTTCTTTGTGTTTGCATATCGTTTGGGTACTGTACCATCACTCGACAACAATATATATATATATACAGTGTTGTGACAACTGGGTCCTGATTGCTCTGCTGAAGATATATTTAAGGTGTCCACCCGTCGTTGTGTTCCAATGATACGTGCAATGCGCAATAGAGCAGTATCTCTGCGAAGCAGTGCAGCAGCAATGCAGACTCAAGATGAAGAGACTAGAAGTCGGGCGACAACTAACGTATCTAAGTTTAGTGACACACTGCCGTCTAGTGTACGTTTGCTAGTAATATCTTCAATCCGCTTCTCATTGTTCTCACGTATTTTTCATGCTTCTATTTTTCAGAAGTTTGAACCGGATCCAGATGATGCGGTTAGCGTTGATGTAACTGTTGTCGAACAGACGTTAGTTAATCCTGAAGAGCTTCAAATTACCTCATTTGTTTACATGATTATTTTTGGATCATCTGCAAACAACTTCGTGGATGGAATGAGTAATGGAGTTGCATTTGGTGATTCACTGGTTCGCGGTCTCAGCGTTGGAATTGCTTGTATCGCTCAACAGTTTCCTCAAGAATTAGGTTTTTATTATCAATTATAGCGTTCCTTAAGATAATTCTGTTTAGACAATGAATTTTTCCAAAGCATATTATATCGAATAAACCCTTCTCATAAAAAAATTCATACATAGTTTCAGTTTTTTGTCTTGTTTAGGTACTTTAGCTATACTGGTTCGATCGGGATTAGGATTAAAGAGGACGTTGTTACTAAATTTGATACCTGGTTTTATGAGCTATATTGGATTTATCATTGGAGCTTTACTGGACAAAAGCATGGAGACAGCTGATAACTATGTTTTTTCAGTATCATCGGGGATGTACTCATACGTCTTTTTGGGGACATTGGTAAAGGATTTTTCTCTTTGAACGCTACAAAACTATCTCATTTAACTCCTTATATCTGTCTGGGATGCACTCGTATTTGCATTTCATCTATACAATTGCAGCTTCCCGAATTGCGAGACTCGACAAATCAACTTATCAAAAAAGATTTAAGAGAAAGTGTTTTAGCATCGACATTGCAAGCTATAGGGATACTTTTTGGAGTTATATTTATGTTTTGTATGGCTAAATATGGCGAGAAAATAGCAGTGTAAAACTTCTGTTTTATACAGCTTGATTGACGGGTGCCACATCTTTTTCTTTTTCTCCTTCTCAACGATAAGTTCTGCAAGGAACGGAAAAATGCAGTGTGGAAAACATCAATACTTTTTAAAATTTACAGTTATTATATCTGAAAATACAACGTTTTTTGTATGCAATCCCTAACAGTTAGAAGTAGTTTTTTTTGAAAAGTTTACATATTCTTTCACTGCTTTTTTCTGTTTTTGAGTTCATTAGGCTGAAAAGTCAGGTACACTTAGTATGTGCGCGATAATTGTCTAGTTTTGGTCACTAGTGCTATTCAGTCGTTCATTTTTTTTTTCTTTTGATTTTCAAAGTTTAGTTAGAAATGTGTTGACGTCATTTTTGTGCAGAATTTCAATGGATTTAAGGCATTATAGCTTTGTTTCTGTATTTATCATACGAAGTATAAATTGAATTTTTTATTGTTAATCTTAGAATTATTTCATGCCCACTTTTGATCGTATGTTTGATACAGAATGAGCTTTGCTGTATCTACTTTGGTACGTAAATTGATTATCCAAGGCTTGCCTTTTTAGTTTCTGTCACTAATATAAAGTAAGTCGTAAGTAGTGAAGTGGATAAAAGTAGTCAGGAAAGTAGATTGAATCTTATATTGCTTCTAAAATATTTCAGAGCAGTTTCTTTTGATAAGTTTTAGTTTGTTTTTTGTATTTATTATTTATCTATTTATAATAGAAACGCAGTGATAATATAGGGGATTAAAATAAAGACTCTGCTAAATGTAAAAGTTGATAAAAAAGATGCCACTAAATTAAATATGTGTCAGGGAGAATTACCCTTTGTGGGAAGATTCTGTGTAACACTAAGATATTCTGAACGCTATATATATATTTGAATTACATTGTTGCTCTTTTATTTACACCTATACTTAAATACTAAAAACTACGACTAAAAGTAGCTGTGAAACTGTGAAAGTATTACTTCATTATTATTTTACGGGTATCTCTTTTTCTACTGTTTATTGCTAATAAATGTTTAGTTGTATATTACTTAACTATTCTGTACTGAAAAAGCAGCGCGAAACAGTACATATATTTGAAGCAATAGAACATATATTGTTAATAAAACCACTGCAAACAAATAAAACTACGCATTCCAATAATATTTGTCTAGTTATTTTGTCACAGCAATAAATCATTTTATTAATCTTAATGTTTTTAACAATAAACATTGCATAAAGAAATTGCTTATATTAACATAGAGAAAGCATTTTGATTGAAATAACCGGAAATGTGGGAAAAAAAGAACAGTTTATTCACTATATACATTAAATATGAAACAAATAGTATAAAACAGCAGAAATTTTGACTTATGGTCTTGTACAGCGTTGTTAAGTACAACAGCCTGATTTGAAATCAAAGAAGCTACACCCGTTTCTTGACAAACAATAACCCAGTTTCGTTTTTTTCACAAATTTATTTGAGAATAGTGATATGAAAATGTAAAAAAATTGAGATTCTTAAATCAGTTAACTGAACACCGGTGGATAACTTTTCGATGTTTTTTCTAGCAGTACTTCAATGTGACAGTTACCACTTCCTTAGACGAAGTCTCCGAAAACCTTCATCTTCAGGTTGTTTCATTTCTACCAAGTCTGGTAATGGTGGTGGTTTCATAATTACAGAATCACTGAAGTCACCTGAACACAGCTTAATTATAGATTATTATTGAAAATTTTCAGTTTT